GAACTATGAAGATCTGACAACCATCAGGCTGTAATACATATAGGCTATACTCGGATCAAAACAGCACCGTGTCCCGTGTCAAAACCGAGTGGGCCACTGACAATCCCTTTTAAAGCATGTGCTGAGCCATTCCCTTAAGGATTTATTTGAATCTTTACATACAGACTCATTATCGCTAATGCAAACATTGTAGACTATACTGCGTTGTGTGACTACATCTCTCACAAGATTTGTATATAAGGTAGCCTATTTAATTATGGTTGCAATACTTTGTTTTAGATTTATGGCAGTAATGAGCAATACAACAGCTCACAGTCATTTTGCATTCCGTATTTTGAACAACTACTACAATACGAAGATTACTCGAAATAGGTATTACTATATTATTCACTAATTTCCTAGTAATTAGACCACTCATCCGATTAATATTCTTTAGTCACGTTAAATTTGGGAGATAAGCTTTAAGGAGACGTTTTACGAATTATCACAGAATTTAAACTGAGGTAGCCTATTTATAAGACAGTCTCATTAATGAAGCACTATGGGGGGTTAGTCGTCAGTTTCTTGTTCATTATAAATGGGTCAGTCGATAATTGGTGCATATCAACGGCAAGTATTTACTTCCTCTTAATCTGAGTTGTTTTGTGCTTCTGTTCTGAAGTCCCAGGGATATTTGCAAGGTAATAAGAAAAAGTTTCTTGAGTTTTTTTACGGGTGTGTGTAAGGTTTTTTTTTGTGGGTATTTTGTTAGATTAATTTACCTCTCTATAGTTTGACTTCTCGCTTTTACAATAAAACAGGTCGTAATGAGGTAGGTTTGTGCCATTTATGGGGGTGAAGTATGCACTAGGCTACTTCCCTTAATTGGACACAGATGCTCCTTTTCTATCGATAACGCCGTTCCCTGGAATTTATAAAGGGCAGCAAGTCGGTATTCACCTGGCAGTTTTTTTAATCGTTCAAAAATTATCCCTGGGCCTGTGCTATCTTAAACCCCAAATATTCTTTAGGTGTTAGGGTTGGGTTGGGGTTATACATTTTGATTTAGCTTGTATCTTCGTCGTTTCGGAGTTTTGACTTCGGGGTCAGAACTGTATCACTCCCTCATATGCGATTGCTAAAACCAACTGCGTGTTTCTGCGTCGCTGATTTCCTTAGACCTTACGGTTCTTGTAAAGTTCTTGTCATAGATACAAAACACACATTTAAACAAAATTATTCATAAGCCTAAAAATGGTTATTTATAATGTCCACGTTTTAAATACTACACCAGTATACAGCATACATTGGGCCTTCTAAACCGTTTGTCCAAGCCGTGTGCACGTCCCCAATGACACATACAGGCCAAGTCATTTCACAAGAATTTTGTAATTCTGATGGTTGCAAATGTTCAAAAGCTCCAAATATCTCACTTGGATATCAAATGAAGCCTAACTTAAATCATCAAAATGAGAGGAGAGGTCACCAAATAGCTACCAATCAACTTAATTTAGAGCTAGGTTAAGACGCCTGCGATTTTCAATCAAATTCTGTTAAGGAATAAAATAATTTTATGTTCCTGTATCATTTAAAACCAACGTACAAAATGATACACTGGTAACAAATAACTAGTAGGTTAACACAATCATTAATTTGGCCTTTATTTCAATACAGCGGATGTTTTAAAATCGTGTTTCTCGTGCAATTTTACGAGCTGATCTCCGGCCAGTGAGCGAAATGAACGTCTTGACTGAACATGCTCCATCCTCGTCACCAGTTATGGAGTGCATTGTCACAATGATTCATCCGACGGACTCGCATAAAATCCCCTAACCTACATGGACGTGTATGCGCATGTAAGCATCGTTTATACATTCGAGTCAGAGTGGGCTCTATAGTATTCAGGCATTCTCTGTCTTATTCTTTTGCCAAAGGCAGACCATGGGGATCTCGCACTATCTAAAACTGGTGTGCAACTTAGGCCTGACAATAACTGCGTCTCTGCGCACCCTTGGCCTATACGCTGGTGACAAACGCCCCGTTCCGGTAGTTTGAATGTGGCTGGAAGATGGAGGGAAAGTGTCAATCAGAGACGCTTCATTGATCACGGACAATGGCGTTCGCAGGACTGGTCTGTTTCGAGAGCAATCAGTCACTCCGCATTAATTATCCCCGCGTCCCACAGTAGGGCAGCTCGCGCTGGCACATGGACAGTGTGTGTCTGTTTGTGTGTGCGTGAGTGAGTGAGTGAAAGAAAAAAAAAGTAAGAATGTGTGTAAGTGCGCGCGTGGGGAGAAGAGATGTGTGTGTGTGTGTGTGTGTGTGTGTGTGAGTGACATAAAGAAACATACACTGAGGTTGTGTTCAGGTATAAACGTAGGCTATATGTATTTATACGAGCTTGTATGCGAAAAATAGAGTGCATTTGCTTGTGTGTAAACGTGAGTTTGCATTGGCTGCTTGTGTGTGCGCGCGTTATCCGTAAACCACTAAAAATGCACCCCACCCCCACCTTTCAAGTTGCGAAAAGGAGCCAATAAAAACCCAACAATAAAAGGGTCTTTCTTGTCACTAAATAAATTAAGTGCCGATATCTGCTTAAAGCTCTGCACATTTTTGTGTATTGCAGAACGGAATTCTTTATTGCCCCAATGTTATTGCTTTTTTTCCAGCATTTTCTTTTTTCTTTTTTTTTTTTTGACAGAAGGGTCGGTGGTAGGGCATAGCACACACTCTGTAACACGTATACTGTAGAGTTAGTTAACACAATGACTGTACACTTTGTCATATTAAGAGCTTCTGCTTGGTCGTTTGCATACTTGATTTCTTCTGAGGCGAAAATTTCTGTTGAATCTGATTCACCGTGGCATTTTTCTTTCAGGACTGACCGTATTTTTCTCTCTTTATCCGTGTCTTTTTCCTTTCCTTTACAACAAACCCCACGACAGGATCATAAACAATTGATACATTAATGGAATGATTTGTTGAATTGTAGATTGCTAATTGATTCCACCACATTGTGGAATGTTTTATCGTTTCATTAAAAAAGTTCCCGTAATTATCTTTTATTTTAGTAAGTCTATTGTCTCTCTCTCTCTCTCGTTTGTATAGATGGCCTCAATGATCAGAAATTTTTTTAATCTAAAATTTTAATAGGCTAGCCTATATGCAGACCCATATGTAAAATATATAAAATACGAAGCACTGTAATATAGCAAATTAAAACTGTTCTCTATATATTGATAATATAGGCCTTTGCCCCCCCCCCCCCCCGCAAATATTTAAAACGTAATATTTTCAGTACGCTAATAGTGGCCAAAGCTCGACGCCTCCCCTTTTTAGTTATTTATTTATTACAAATGGATACAAGATTGTAACAAAAAATTATAGTAGCCTATACACTTTCACGTTCTATACGTTTTTACAGTTCTTCTAATGGCTTGTCTGAAGTTGCCCTTATAGTTTGTGTGATGGTGCTACGCAGAGGGTTTTGCTGGGTGAAGTTTCATGGGTTGAATTTATAGAGGTAATGAAGAAAGGAATAGCCTAATTGCCGAGTATAAAAAAACATAGAAGAACAAAGCCAAAACAGTACAGTATATATTTCAGATTTATTGACTTTTTCTTTTTCAGTTTATTGAAAGAATAAAAGCGTTTGACAGGCAACATTTATTTCTATTTTAATAATAATAATGCATTGTGGGCTACAAACAACAACAATAATGTAATAATGTCTGTTAATAATAATTTTTCAGTGCACTCACCCAGGTTTTGCAGAATTGGATTTGTACCGAGAGAAAAAAAAAGAACGGGATAGGCTATAATAGGTCATTTTAACGTTTAATTGTTTTACGGTTAGTTTATATAGCCTACTTACTGTTATGAAATATCCAATCAAAGTAATAAGTCGGAGTCATTGTGAAGTTTTTTGTTTAAATTTCATCGTAAATAATCCTCAGTAGCTAGGCTATAGGCTACGCACGCTCGTTTTGGTCGCTTTCAGCCTTCTCGTGTTTTAGTCTTTTAGATTCCATGTATTAGAATTGTCATGTTGCTGTTGAATTAAGCGATATTAATCCGAGAATCTATACTTTAAATTTAATACAACATGTAATTTCCCCCTTTTAACGCATTCCCTTTGATTAAGTCACTCTTGACTCTCCTTTAGCTTTGGGGCCAACGAGGTTCGCCTAGGGGAGGCCTTGAAACCGCCCCTCCTTATCTCCTTTCATCATCCAGCTCTGGGTCGCCTTGAAACCGCAAGGCCAGTAATTGCTTTTTTCAGGCAGCCCAGTGCGGACTGGACAGCAGCCAATCAGAGCCTTGTTTACATTCTATGATTGACAGCGCTCTGGCAACACGCCAACCAATCAAACAATTTTAAGGACAAGGCCCAGGATTTTAACTCTTTGTTTGCCATTGCACCGTAGTTTGGGCTACGTACGGTGCAATGGCATCCTGATGAGATCTGGGTTAAATTTGTTTCTTAACTCCTTAAACCTAGCGTGCAGTGACATGCTTTACGTTGAATGATACTGTACTTTCACAAATTGGTTAAAAAAAAAGAAAAGAAAGATAGTTTATTTACGTTTGGCTGATGTTAAATTTCTCTTTTTATTTTTGTTCAATACTCCACGAGAAAATAATCAATAGGGTATATAATGGCAACTAATAATTTGTCACGTTTGAAAGCCAATGCTTACTAGTGTTGTGCATTGCGTTTCTTGTGTAGTTTGAAGTCATTTAAATAATGTTACTCTAGGCTGCATAAGTAACCATGTGGTCATGCCTCACACTGAACTAGTCGCGAGACAGGAAAGCTCAAATAAAGCGCCCGCCGTTTTGTTTAGTTGATCCAGCTGACACGCCATTGGCTCAGAGCGCCATCCAATCGGAGCCACTGTTTATCCTGGGGCGCGCTGCACGAGCTTATTGACATGTAGGTATTAGACCAATGGGCGCGACTGCTCCCACAGTCACCTCCCCCTCTTCTCCTTGAGTGGCACTAGCAGATTCAGGAAAGAGCCTCTGACTGCTTGTACGGGGCTCGATTCAGCAGAAGCTCTTACTACTACGGTGCATCTCCGAACTTCTGCACTGCACACGCACTGCAATCAGCAGACTCTAGGATGTAACCATTTCCAAATGTTTTTATTCTGCTTCTGCTCTCTTTTGCGTATTTTTTGTATTATGTTTTTTTAATCCATTTATTGTTTTGCAAGGAATAACTTACCAGTAAGTAATTCGTTTATATTGTATTTATATGCGTGCAATAATAAACATTTGCCTTCAAGAGCTGCTCTTACTTTTTGTTTTTTTAAAGAACATCTGGCGCTATACGAAATTACCCAGTTTGTGTTGCAGGGGGGTGAAAGAAAAAGATCCCTTTATTTTCACCCGACTGTGTAGCTTTGTTTGAGCAATGATGATAATAATAATCATTACCATTATAATAATAGAAGATTGGTGCAAGACTGAATTTCTGTTTGAATAAAGAAGACATTTTATTTAGAGGGAAGCCATTTCTTATCGACTAATAATGAAAAAAATACAAGTGTGAACAATTATACACAATCTTAACAAAAGACTAAATTCGACGTTCATTTGTAAAGTGCTATGCAATGGACGTGATGGCAGAAGAACCTAGGCTAAGCGCTTTTACCTTGTAGAATGAATAATGGACTGTTGTTTATTAAATTGAAATTGAACTAAATTTTAGTTTCCACGTGCTTTTATTCTATAGACATGTTTTCCATTGAAATGCCATGATTCATAAAATTGTCTGGATTTTATTACAGTTTAAAATGTCATTTCCTAACACTCAAAACCTTCTTTAGGAAACCTGTTCTTTCATGTGCTCCTCCTCACCTCCCATCCGTCCTCCGAACCACGTCTAATAGATCTCAGACCCCAATAAACGTTAAAAGTTAGGCTTCAGTTAATAGTGGGAGGTTGCTGCGTTCAAATACTTCATGCTTTAATATTTCTGCCCAAATTCTTTTCATGATGTTGCAGAAATGATACATGTTTGCTAAAAATGTCCTTTGACAGCGCAAAATAAAATGGTGCACTACATTTCATTCCGTGCCTCGGTGAGCTCATTCTTTAGGTTATTTAGCGAATGCTCATTATTTGAGGGAAATTGTCTTAAATTGATGCCTAACGTTGTGCACATCAATTCACTCACTCAACTTCTCTATTTTCAGTTTAATGCTGTTAATGAAAGTAGTATTGCTACAGCAGTATGGCACTGCAACCATCCTCACACTCAAAACTGGGAACTTCCAACGTTTTAAGGCCTCATTCAAAACGCTGAAACATCCAACAGACGTTCAACGTTCTGAGCGTCAAATGTCTGAACATAAGGAGCTTTTGTAATTTTGTTGAGGAGACTTTCTAATTATTGACTTTCAAGGTTTAATATCTGGAAAAACTACTTTATGCAAGCATGTTTTGAAAAAAAATCTCGCGCATTAGTTGTGCCCCATGACAATGCTCTCAATGCACCATTTTGCCATGACAAGACTCCATCTGCAACAGCGTAAGATGTTTCTTTTACCCGTGATTTAGGAATCCAAATGACTAGAGGCCAGAGGTGAAATATAGACGCCATCATCCATTTGTTGTTACCCCATATACAAAGGTTACAGAAAGCCTGGGTCAGACGAGCAAATCAGTTTAATTATGTGGAATGACTGAGGGAAAATTGACGAAGAAATTATATTTATAGTTCGATGCATTAAATAATTAAGCATTTGCAATGGAAGCAGTCATACCAAAAGTCAGCGATTATAGATTTTCTTAATTTTTTTGTCTTGTGAAAGACAGAACGACTGGTTTAGCTTTGTCCATTTGATATAGCCTATTTGTTAGTTTTCCAAATGCGCAAGAATTCTGTAAAAAAGTTGTATTGATCTTGGCATCTCTTTGAATGGTATATAGCCTGCAGTGAGTGGTCTGTGTGAAAGTGGAGGTGTGCTGCAAGCTCGCTCAATTGTGGTGAGATGAGAGAGACGAGCGGAGAATTTGTAGTTTAGGCAGTAGTCGCAGCAATGGACGTACACTCCCGGTGTTTCCAATGAAGGATTACCATTACACTTCTGAAGGATACTAACATGATACGATCTTGTGGATTTGCATCACTCATTCGTGTAACTGGTTTGTAATTGAATCTACATTTTATGTTTTTTTTTTTTTTCTGTTGCAGAAAACATGACTGGCACATACTTTTTTGGCCGTCAGAGCCAAAACGGTCCTGAATGCAAGACCTAACCGAAACTCTTAACGGAATTATAACATCTGGGCGGCGTTTGATTCGGTTCTCGTGGTTTCCCGTTCTGGATTTCGGATTTAACGTTTTTTTATCGGGATGGAAGGACGGGAATTCGCTCCTCCGCCGCACCTTTTGGCAGAGCGAGGCGCGCTGGTTCACAGAGCCGCCTCGAGGATCACTCATGCCGGGCACACGACAGTGCAGCATCCCGGTCACTTTCAGCCTGGGAAATATTACACTTCACATATGGCGATGCCTCCACATTCAGGTAAATGCTTGTGATCCCCTGTTGATAGTGAATGCTTTTAAAACATGTATTTTTTAGCAGAATTAAATTGCTTAACTTCAGAAAAGCGCGTTGACTTATAGGGTAATTTTTATTGGGAAATTAAGGTCTTTTTGGAAATAAGCAATTACGCACTCGGTGTAGTCACATCTGATAGAATTAAAGGGTTATATTGAACAGTTTACTCTCATAATGTCTGTCATGAGATGCAAAAAGCTGGTCGTTTATAGTTGATAGCAGTTCGTATCAAGAAAGCGGACAAGAAAATTACCTTCTATAGCCTTTGATAAAATTGAATTTATATTTGTTATTTTTTATGATGATTTCACTAATATACTGTTTTGTTAATAACGAACTGCTGGTTTGCGCTCTTTGTTTCGCGCTCAATCAGACCTCTTTTTTTCTTTTGACAAAACAAGTTGTTTGGTCATATCTATTCAAGTAAAGTCCCATTATTTTATGTTAATTATTAGGGTGCATCTTTGAGTGGTTTAATAACACAAGCTTTGGTGTGTGTGTGAGTGTATCTGCGCTGTGGTTCGAGAAGTCTCCCAGATTAGGGTCAGTAGCTCTTGTGTGTATGCGTATGTGTGTGTGCTAAGAGGCGTCTGTAATACCAGAAAATCCGGTTTCTATATTGAGCGGTGATGTGACGGGGTGCGAATGAGTTGACAGTGCATGCATTAGATTTAACAAGTGTCTCCAGCATTCAGTGTGCCTTTGGGATAGAGGTACACTTTGCATTTTGATTATTAATGAGAAATAAATATGAATGCGTCAGTCTGAGAACGCTTCTTTTGTTAGTAATCACTGAGAAAATCATATGTACATAATTCCATAATTTATCATTTACTTCATATTGTTGTTGAGATAGACTGACGTGTTGTTTTTAAGAATGTGCTAAGCAGATTAATAGTCCTAAATAATTATTGAAATAAATAAATTCCCGTTGGTGTTGTTTTAGTCCGCTTAAATATAGGCCAACATATATTTTTGTTTAGTTTTATATCGCTTAAAATGTCATTTTTGTTGTATCGCATTATATTTTAATTACATGTTGGATCGCTTGTAATTGGGCGTGTTATTAAGTTCAGCATTTAAAATTGAGTTAATTCAAAGTGTATTTCGATTTTGGGGTTTGCTATTTACACTCAAATGAAATATGTTCAGTCGAATTCTCGCTGTGACGTGATTCAGCTGACGTTTTTTCAGCTGAATTCGAAATCGAGTCATAACGTTCTCCGTGTAGAATGAAATTTCAGAAGCGAGATCTATCACAGCGCGCGCTGACCCTGATGGTCTCCGGCCCACGGTGAATGCGCGCGGGTACTGACGGGGTCTTTAGCGGCTGTCTTTCTCTCCGGCCTCCCGCTGTATACGCTCGCACTGCCTTCTTAAAAGTCATTTTTATTTTTTTCTTAGACAAATAACTTCGTCCTAATACCTCACACAGAGACAAACAAACAACGAAAGTCCACAAGGCAAACTCTATACAAAAAAAAAATTCAAGCCTCTTTTACGATAGATGCTTTCGAGAAAATGTAGCCTGTCGTTGTTTTTCATCTCTAATGTATTGAATCGGTTCATTGTCTCTTTCTTCGACTACTGTCGTCGAGCTGAATGCATTTTAAAAGCCGAACCCCCGGTAGATTGATGGATTTTGTTGTGCTGCTCAGGTCTCGCGTGCACATCAAATGCTGCTCTGGCAGTGCGCGCGGATAATGTGTACAGTAGGATCTCCTTTTCTTCTTACTTACCCCCCCCCCCCCCTCTCTCTCTCTCTCTCCCTCCTCTCTTTCTTTTCTTTCCTCCATATCCTCAGCAGATGTCTTTAACGTCTGCCTCAAGGCGGACGCCAGCTCATGCCATACAGGTGCATCATTTACTTGTAGGCTATGTGTCTATGAGTATGTGTGTGCGCTCGTATCAAATTCTTGTTCTTCCGCTGTGGCTTTTTTAATCAACACAGGTGTCTTTTTTGCTCCCACAGAATAGATAGTATATTGAAGTATAAGACGATATGTGTATTATTTTACATCATATACTGGGACAAAAGTTATTCATTATTAAGTTTTAGATATTGCCCTTTTTGTTTGAATGGAATGTAACTAATAGACTATATATACAGCATATTTTCCTCCCTTTTGTATGTATTATAAAATGTTCTCTTCCTTTTTAATTTATCAGTTTATCAAGGAATTTAAATAATTTCAGACACTCACATAGAGAGTGAAATCCATTGAGTGTAAACATGCAGCATGGGAGAAATGTGTAAAAGTCCCTCAATGTTTGTGAAATTAAGTTAGAAATGCATTCTGATACACTCTTTTACCATTTTCTAACCGATTAAGTCGGACAAATCCTGATAGATTGGTAGATGGATTAAGAGAGAGAACAATTTAATTATTCTCAGATGGGACAAACACCAACCCGCAGTTCAATTAGGTGGCACTCTGTCTGTCTATCACGGTCAATTGTTCGCCCTCACCCTCGGTGTTACAGAGTTATTTTGTAGCTTTGTGCTGTAGCAGTCATGTTTCTGCAAAAGCAGTGGTCTGCCCTGTCAAACCGGCCTTCTGGTCGGCCTTTTTTCATATCACTTCTTCCTCTCTCGCTTCTGTGTGCCCCAAGTCCTGATTTAACAATGCTGTCTGCGCTGTTGTTGATCCTAACCTGTCTCACCCTCCCCGTCCACTCGTTCCTCTGCGGTGCAGCCCTGTTCCGCACACACTGCCCCCAGGCCATTCGCCTTTGATAAGGCTTGTAGTTTGAATTAGTTGCGTTCCCTTGGATCTAGTTAGTATCTCTTTCTCTCTCACGTTTACCTGTCTGTCTCTGCATCATCTCTGAATTATAGCGAATGGATCGGTTTGGGCCTAAATGCTAAATGAATTAGGTCATTTCGGGAATATCCCTAACTTGACTTCTGATTTGGATTGAATATTTAGTTTGATTCCATCTTCATCCTGCACTTCTGTAATGGCATGCGTTTCTTCCACTTCTCCAAAATAGGGGGGACGAGGGAAAGTGACTAAAAGAGAGAGAGACGAGGAAAAAGAGTGGCTGAATGTTTCCACCTGGTTGGTAATCTGGCCCAATTACCTCTGCTTGGTAGCACAGAGCCTGGCGTGTTCCATCGCCACTCACTATGCCTGCCAGCTGAGTGCTGTGAGCGAGTGTACAGCACTCTATGTGTGTGTGTGTGTGTGTGTGATTCAGCAGAGCTTCGTTGGCAGAAGCGACATCGTTCCCCCCTCCCCTCCACCCCACGGTCTCTTCTTTCACTGTTTGATGTGCCTCAGTAGGCCGAGAGAGTCCCAACGTCCTGGCCCAACTGCACCCATCACCGCTGCCTCGCAAACAATGCATCTGCGCATCATCAATGCCGTCAAATCATTTATTAATATTTGATACATACAGCACCTAATGTACACCTATAAAAAATGTATCACCCTGGAATATCATCAATGTCTGTGACTATTGATCAGGAGTGTGTTTCCCAAAAGCACAGCAGTGCTGTGAACTTCATGAGGGCCAATATGGCGCTTTCCAAAACGTTGAAGCCTGCATTCATCTTAAAAGGATAGTAAATAATCTTTGATTGTTTTTGTGTCATTCCAAATTTGTATGACTTACTTTCTTCTATTGAACGCAGAAAATATATTTAGATAAATGTCTTGTTTTTTTTTTTTTTTTTTGACATACCATATGTAATTAAAATCATTGAGGTCTAATTTTGCATCTCGCTTTCATTTTATAGATAAAAAAAGAGTTGTTCAAAATATCTTGTTTTGTATTCCACATAAGAAAAACATGAGGGTGAAAAATTGATTATGGAATTAAAATGTTAATTTCAAATATAGCTTTGGTGTACTTCCTCAAACGAATGTGATTGTTTTATGCTGACAAGACATTTACAAACAGTTTGCTATAGATTTAATGCAAATCAGGAGGGTTTAAATGAGGAAGTGAGAATAAATGACACTCTTCCTGCATGGCAACTCCGACATGCATATGGACCTATTACACACCTGACATATGATACGGTGTTTTCACACCAAATCTGAAAATTGGCGCTCTTCTGACTTGGATTTGTGCAACTGATACTTGAGAACTGGAAATGCTCACTGGGAGGGCTTGTAATATGCACACAGACACAATCGCACACAAACACACATAAGCTAACCTTAATAACGGATGCAAGCAAATAAGGGACACACACATGCACACACACACTTCAACTTTTAAACCCTGGGTTCATCTGCTGTGCATTGGATCAGCACAACAATGAGGCAGTACTCTGGGGCGCCATCAGCTACAGAGCTCATTCATACAGCTGTCAGACTTTCTTTCTTTCTTTCTTTCTTTCTTTCTTTCTTTCTTTCTTTCTTTCTTTCTTTCTTTCTTTCTTTCTTTCTTTCTTTCTTTTTCTCTCTCTCTCTCCCCTCATTTTCTCAATCTCCTCCTCTTCCTACTCTGTTTCTCGTCAACATCGTTGTTTGGATTTCATCAGTTTAACACCCAGCATTTTTTTTCTTTTCCATTTTATTATTGTTTTGTTTAGCATGTATGTGATTCTTTCAGCTATCTCACTTATTTCGACACATTTCCTTAAGGGGGTTACACGTTTCTTCTCTGAAATTTGTAAGGGGTTTCTTCAGCGGTTTGAAAATTAGTTTATACTGCAGATTAAAATACAGTTCTGGTTAATTTCGCATGAATCAGCAATGTTTAAGTGTCTAGACTTTAAAAATGCTGGGTTATTTAAACCCAAATTTGGATCAAGTATTGACAAACCCAGTAATTGGGTTAACATTTTAAATTACATTTTTAACCCAAAGTTTGAGTTTGTCCATATTTTACCTATAATTGGGTTAAAACAACCCAGCATTTTTTAGAGTGTAATGTTCATGTGAATGATTATAAATAATAACTGTATCTAAATCAAGGCTGAACAATTGTTCTGCTATAGTTGGGCCAAT